ACTCTAATAAAATAGAAAAGACAGAAGAAATGGACAGATTCCTAGATACATATGAATTGCCAAAGCTAAATGAAGAAGATATAGAAATTCTAAACACCCCAGTTATAATGAGTGAAATTGAAAATGTAATTAAAAAATTGACCAACAAAGAAAAGCCCAGGTCCTGATGGCTTCACTGCTGAATTCTGCAAGACATTTAAAGAAGAACTATTGCCCTTACTTTGTAAACTCATCAAAGAAATGGTAAGGGAAGCAAGGCTTCCAAATACATTCCTGGAAGCAAGTGTGACTTTGATTCCAAAACCAGGGAAAGACACAACCCAAAAAGAGAACTACAGGCCAATCTCCCTAATGAACATAGGTGCAAAAATACTCAACAAGATACTGGCAAACAGAATACAGAGGGTCATCAAGAAGATCATACAGCCTGACCAAGTCAGATTTATCCCAGGGATGCAAGGATGGTTCAACATATGTAGATCAATAAATGTAATACATTATATTAACAGAGTCAAGGACAAAACCATATGATCATCTCAATAGATGCAGAAAAGGTATTTGACAAAATCCAACATCCATTCATGATAAAAATGCTACAGAAAATTGGAACAGAAGGGCTTTATCTCAACCTGATTAAGGGTATCTATGACAAGCCAACAGCCAACATCATACTAAATGGTCAAAAACTGAAAACTTTCACACTAAAATCAGACAAGACAAGGATGACCACTATCACTACTCCTGTTCAATATAGTTCTGTAAACATTGGCCACAGAAACTAGAAAAGAGAAAGAAAAAAAGGAATAAAGCTAGGAAAGGAAGAAGTGAAACTGTCATTATTTGCTTAGGATATGGCACTTTACATACAAGACCCCAAAAACTCAGCCAAAAGACTTCTAGACTTAATTTACAGATTCAGTTGAGTAGCTGGATATATGGTCAAAACTCAAAAAAACAATAGCCTTCTTATGCACAAATAACAGACTCTCTGAGAGAGAAATTAGGGAAACAATTCCTTTTACAATAGCATCCAAAAAA